TGCAAGGCGAGGACCTTAACCACTGCGCCACCACGCTGGGCCCCAACCCGAGTTTTAAAGGGAAGGGTTATAGGGCAGGTTTTGCTTCAGTGGTTAAGATGTTGGTTGGGTTGCGTCTGGAGTGGTGTCCTGCTCCGGCCGTAGGTTTGGGCTGCCTGCTGTTGCTTAGGTGAGTTTCTGCCACCCTAGTTTCCAACTTTGGTCTGTCATCATCCTATTTCGGCCTCTCAGGAATGAACTGGGATGTGTGAGTATGCTTTCTCCTTCTCTCTCTTCTGCAATAAATAATTTTTAAAAAAGAATTAAGAGGGCAAAAGATTCAGTCGGATGTATAAGGTATAGAGCATTGGTGATTAAGCACATGAAATGATTTGAAACATCTTGGTCACTAGAGAAATACAAATTAAAGAGAAAGGCAAAAGAATTTACAACAATAAAGAACATTTTATTTGTACTTGTTTCATAATGAGACTGACTTAAAGTTAATGCCTGCATCAGCACTAATCCATTGCCTTTTCTAGAAGCTTTTTTATTTCTAATTGTATACCTTTTTTTTTTTTTTAGTGTTCTATCAGTTCTGTGTTTGTGTGGGACTCTTTCCTTCTTAAGCTCTGTCCTTTGCCACTTCGTTACCATTGCATCACCTCAGGGATATTAGATTCAAAACTGTGAAGTCATTTATTTGTTCTTCTAACATCTGTCATAGTGACTTCTTACCAATGACCTGCCTGTGGCTAGAAGTCCTGTGCTCGTAGCCTGAGATGCACATTCAGCAACTAGAAATGGATCTGGGGTATTTCAGGCCGTGTGTCTGGGTGAGATCACTTGGGGAAGTGTGCATGAATAGAACATGAGAGACCGGATGACTGAGCCCCGAGGCAGCTCAGACTTTGGACGTGGGCTGAGGGAAGGAGGCGCTCAGCCAGTGCTAATGGAGGGGAGCAACCATTAGCAGCTGTTTCAGGGGAGAAGTCTGGGCATTCTAAGAACCTGAGCATTTGGTGCAGCGCCTAGGGTGCCACGTGGGGCTCCTGCAGTCCAGATCGGGGTGCCTGGGGTCAAGTCCAGACCCAGTTCTGTTTGTAGCTTCCTGCTAATACATTCTCTGGGTGACAGCAGAAGACTTCAGTTCTTGGGTTCCTGTCACCCATGTGAGAAACGCGAGATAGGTTCCACACTCCTGGCTTCTGCCTGGCCCAGCCCTGGTAGCGTGGGTCTTTGGAGAGGGGACGCATGAGAGGAAGGTTTTGCTTGTTCTCTCTGCCTTTCAAATAAAATGAAAAAAAAAAAGTTCTTGTAATTTTAGCAAAATATTGTAAGAAAAGGAGAGACTCCTTAAACTGCTGCTAATAAGGTCAGAGGAACGTGAGACAGAGAGACTATTGGATTTGCAAGACCAAAATTCTTTAGAAATGTAATAAAATTGATAATCTGATTGAAGTAGATGTAAGACAAGGAAGTAGAGAAGTACTTTTTTTTTTTTTAAAGAATGTGAAGTGTGGAGGGAAGCTGGGAGGCATTGTGAAATCATGGGAGACTTGTTCGTTTCGTTTTATTTGAGCTGGGAGAGTTGATAGGTTTGTAAGTAGTGAAGATTAGCTCAGAAAGCTGGGAAGGTTGAGCATGTAGAGAAAGGCGGGTAGCGTCACTTTCTGGGTGAGCATTGGTGGGATTCGGGGCACAGAAAAGAGATGGCTTTTGGACAGTTCTGGAACGTTAGGAAGGCATTGATGGGGTGTGGGTTCTGGCTAGTCCCTGACTAATTCTTGCTGTCACTGTGCACAAAACACTGTTCTTATAAAAAAATACGCCAAAGATACGTATCAGTGATGCATTTTAAATACAAATGCTTTAACCAGATGTGTCTTCTTGGAATACTGCCACTAGCGTCTCACTGTTCATCATTATATTGTCTTTGTTACTGTTTACTGTGTAGTTACAGCAGCATGTCTGAAAAACCTTTGTGTTTAAGTAATTCTTCTAGCAATGCATCTATTTGTTATCTGATTAATAGATTGTAAGATTCTGGTGAGTGATTGCTTTCATTTAAAGATGAACTGCTTCTGAATCATCCAGAATAAGTTCTTTTTTTATATAATAAATTCATTTTATTTTTAATGATGTTCTTGCAGTTGAGAGGGATACATGCCCATGTGGCTCACCGATGGGTGGGGAGGGTTGAGGAATAGGGGAAAGTGGGTGAGACCACTGCCTCCAGTCTTTTTTTTTCCTGTATCTGGGGAAAGTAGGGAGAGAAGGGGAGAGGGCCGCTGTCAGCCACCTGACTGCATCAGTACCCGGGCATGGAGGATGGCCACCATTGTTATCTGGGGTCCCCGATGTGGAGCATGTTTTGAGGGGTGCTGCTCAGGTGGTTTCAGTGGTTCTGAGATGCTCTTGATCTCACTGTGCCAACGTTGAGGAAGTCCTTCCAAGGTCAGTTGGCTGACGTAGTCCATGTTAGAGTCTCCATTTGCCCAGATACTTGCTGTAAAAGCTTGACTGGGAGAGATGTCCAGTTGGTTCTTCCCTCCATGGAACTGGACGTCCTCTGCAAGGTTCAGTGGACTGGTTCTCATGTTCTCTATGAGCATCTGGGCATGCCATCCACTGCACAGGCCTCAGCAGCCATGGAGACCCAGTTCTGAGACGTGCACTCGATGATCAAACCGCAGATCCTGTGATTTTCACTGTAATTGGAGTTCTGAGTCCAGTGGTCCAGTTCAGGGCAGTGGATAGGGGATTGTGGGCAGATTCCCAAAGAGACCTCATCTGAAGTGACTCCAGACCTAACTCCTGTGTTTCCCAGACAGTATGGGGTCCAGCTTAGTCCGTGAGCCTACACACACACACACACACACACGCACACACATACACACAGCCTCATCTCATATGCAAACCAATGGATGCTGGGACCCAGCCTAACCCTACCCACCACACACTCATCCCTCACACATATCAGTGTACAGCCTAGTTGGAGCAACCCCCCGGTAATCCACACTAGGCCTCCAGCCCTGGTTCCTGTGTGTGCCAGTATGGGTAGCAGGCTGCAATGACTGGAGCCGAACTGATCCAAATGCAGGAGCCAGAGGCCTCTTCCAGCTCTCCCACACAGGTGAAGGATCCCAAGGCCTTGGGCTGTCTCCTTGACTGCTTTCCCAGGCCACAAGCAGGGAGCAGGATGGGAAGCGGAGCAGCTGGCACATAAACTGGCACCCATATGGGATCCTGGTACATGCAAGGTGAGGACTTCAGCCACTAGGCTACTGTGCTGGGCTCCTTCCCTTCATCTTAAAAAAAATGGAATAGGGAACTATGCTGGCACACTCATATAGTCAACACAAATTTGGCATTATCCAGATCCAGATTGCCTGCCAGATCTTAGCTGCTTCTTTCCCAGCATTGTAATGCTTGGTAAGGTACAAGGCAATCTTGGCAGTTGCCTACAGCTGGGCAGAATAAGTTCTAAAATAACTCTGTGGTAGCAACATTTGCTACGGGGTGATGAGATCTTTCCTGAAGGGAAGATGTGCACGGTGGCAGTAGTGTCTCTTTAATGATGCTTTGTTCTTTGATGTTACTTGCCCTTCAGACAATTCACATCTTTGCACAGAATTAAACATTTTCAAGTTAAATATTAACCATGCATATTTTATAAAAAATTTAGGTTTAATGAATGACTAAAGCATAGGAGAGTAATTTATTGTTTGAATCACTTGTATATTTTTTTAGAAATCTTAGTTTTTCTTTTGTTTTTCTCCACTCGAATAGAGGCTATAGTGACATTAGAGTGCAGTAAGTTAAATCTTAGACCTTGATTTTTCTTGTGCCATTTTTTAAAAAAAGATTTATGTATTTTTATGGAAAAGGCATATATACAGAGAGGAGAGACAGAGAGGAAGATCTTCCATCCATTGATTCACTTTCCAAGTGGCTGCAATGGCCGGAGCTGAACTGATCCGAATCCAGGAGCCAGGAGCTTCTTTCAGGTCTCCCACACGGGTGTGGGGTGCCAAAGCTTTGGGCTGTCCTCGACTGCTTTCCCAGGCCAAAAGCAGGGATCTGGGATGGGAAGTGGGGCTGCTGGGACACAAACCGGTGCCCATATGAGATCCTGGTGTATGCAAGATGAGGACTCCAGCCACTAGGCTATCGTGCATGGCTCCTTCTGCCAGTTTTTATAACGTGTGCATAATAAACCTCCTCATTCATTGTGGTGTTTTCCACTGCTCAATCTTGCTGCTTTCTAGTATTTGATTTTATGGAAAAGCAAGCCGTCTACATACTTGGCAAAAGTAGTGGAAAGTCCTTCAAAGATTTCAAGATTGTGCTAGTAGTTTTTATTGTAAATTATTTTATATTATTTTAATCTGCTTTGAAAATATGCTGTGTCCATTGCATGTATTTATTTATAGCTGTAACGATATAACATTCTTACCACCATTTTAGTGACTTTAAAAACAACACACATTTAACCATTTCTGTGTGCCAGGAATGTGTATACAGCTGAACTGAGTTCTCTGCTTAATAGACTCACACAACTCCCATACCAGTGTTGGCTGAAGCTGCAGTCTTATCTGAGACTTGCCTGAGGATGGATCTACTTGCAGAATCACGTGATTATTGGGAGACTTCAGTTCCTGGTTGGCTGAGTGTGTCAGTTGGTTGCTGGCTGTCTGCTCCCCCAGGCTGCTCTCAGCCTCTGGCTCCATGACCATGTCCCATGACAGGTCATGAGACTCAGCTTTAAACCAGGAAGGGCGTCTCCCCTAGGACAGCACACAGTCTCGAGTCACATTCATGTCCACGCAAGCATTGTGAGCCTGGATTAGAGGCGAGTGGCAGGTCCCATCTCTACTCACGAGAGGAGGACCGCTCACACAAGCATCCAGACCAGCTCCATCTGCTCCCGTGTATTTGCTGTATCTTTACACGAGTTATGTGTTGGTACTTGTTTAGATATAAGTGATAATTTTGAACTTTTAAATTTTTCTAACCAGATTCCATTGGCCGTGACATTCCCAAAATGCTTGAGTTATTTAAAACTGGACAAGAAATTGCAGTAGATGAAGAAAGGGAGAACTTTCTCAAGACCAAAATCGCGACAGTAAGTGATGGCGGAAGGGACCAATGATCCTCCTTTCTTCTTTGATAAGTGATCCGTTAGTTAGTTATCACGTTATCACGTTGTATTGGTCGTTTGAGCTCATTCCTGACATTAGCACTGGGGGTGGCAAGAAATGTACACCTAGATAATTTTTAAAATTCTGTGGATTGAACAGATAACTATTAACACTCCTGAGGATTCCCTCCTTCCAGAGTTAGGTGTTCCTCACGGACATTCACAGTTGACCCTCAGCAGTGTGGGTTTACACTGAATGGGTCCATTGGTATGTGGATTTCTGGGAGATTTGTAGTGAGTTGAGAGAATTTAGAACTATGTAGCTCAGAAATAGTAGCAAAAAATAAGAAAAAGCTAATGCATCCAAAACATGTAGGTTGGCAGTTGCTAGATTAAAAAAAAAAAAAAAACACCCTGAAACATTGGGACTACCAAGACCAGAATGATGATAAAACCAGGTTTATTGAGATCTGCTCCTGGGGGAGGTTCATCGGTCCCCAAGGCAGCGGGCTGCTGAAGTTGTGCCTGCAGTGAGCCGCACATTCCTTATGTAGTGGTGGTGATGGGGCTTGAAGTAAAGGGGTGTGTTCTGTTCTGATTGGTCGGCTCCGTTTAAATGAGTCCGGGGTGGCTATTCTTGGTGGGAATTTTTTGCACCACTGCTGGGCTTTCTCCCTGTTCCTGGGCCCTCCGGGCTAACAGCAGTAATTCATCATTTACTGTTATAAAATATACACAAATCTATTATAAAAATTAAAATGTATTGAAACACAAAACTTACAAGCTGTTCATGACACAAGTAATATAAATACATATAGTAAAAATAAAAATATAAATGTGAACAAATATAAAGGTTATTTTTATTTAATGCACTGTTAAATCTCAACTGTGTGAAATTAACCACAGGACTTGCTGTACTCCTGTAGGAATTCATAGCCTTCTCCTGGCTGCACACGTGCTTTGGCATCAGTAACATATCATTAACTGCTTATTTCAGTAAAAACTCATCTTCCATGTTTCCTGTCACCGTGTGCGGTACACGTAACTTGTCAATTTGACCTTATAACATGCATAATTGGCTGTTCATGTACCCACAGGCTCTCTCCAGTTAGCAGTAGGCTTTGAGTAGTTAAGTTTTGGGCCTGGGGATTCAAGAGGTATATGTGAATTTTCAGATGCATGGGAGCTGGTGTTTCTAATGCATGTGCCACTTCTTCCCTGCAATCCCGTCGTTGTCAGAGGGTCAGCTTTGTTTATTCTGTGTGTGCACGATGCTGTGTGTGTCATTTGTTGTCTTGAAGTTTACGCTGTTTGAGAGTACTGACTGAATTTTGTGCATTCCCTATGAATCCTTGCAGAGTGTTGAGTAGCTGACAGGGTTGTAATATAGTCTGGTGGGATAATTTGTTTTCTTTGCTAAGTTCTGATTATCTCTTTTTTAAAAATTCTTTTTTCTATTTTTTTTGCACATATTTTTTATATTTTACCTCTGTATTTTTAAAATTGCTTGTTTACTCATGGGTGATGCTGGAAATTAGTTTCCAGTGCTAATTTTAGCATCCTAGTACCAGAATGTCAGATTTATAGTACTATTCTTTTTCTTCTTTTTTTTATATACATGTATTAGAAACATTAAGATTTTCCAAAATATGTTCTTTATATTAAAGGATCTCAGAAGTATCTGTTGATTGCAAAATTTCAGCAGTGTCTACCAAGTGTCAGATGCTATTCTATGCACTGTTTTTATTCCTGGCCCTATGAAGACTGGAATTCTGTTCCCCGTTCTGTAGCTGGAGGCCTGGAAGCCAGAGACATGACAAACCTTTGCAAGGTCCAACAGCTAGTGTGAAGCAGAATAAATACTTGAACTTTGCCATCTCCTCCATAGTGGGGGGTCTTTACCCATCTTGCGTGAGTAGCTGGAATACTTGTTCTCTTCTCACTTTAACACTTAAGAGGCATTCTGCGTAGTAGCCAGCAGCTTGTAGTCCAAGCTGCATCCACTGTGGAGTAGTGAAAAACAGAAAAACACACTAGGCTAGTTTTGCAACAGGAAACTTGCTTTGGAGTGGGGACAATACAGGGTGACTCTTCTCAGCAACTGGGGAACTCCTGCTTGCCATTAGGAACGTCGAAGCTGAGCTCCATTTTATTCAGTGCTGAGATCTGCTAGAATCTGCTGCTGGAATTTCCTTGTTCCAAAAGGCCCTGGGCAGTGCTACTTGTTTTTTAGGGCTGACAGTGCTGTAATCTAAAAACCAAGCAAAACAAAACAAAACAAAGCAGTCAAATCCTAAGGAACTCTTTTGGAGTTGTGGAGACTTGAGTTTGAATGCCTGTTTTGCTTCTTATATATAGGAGAAGAGACTTGAAACATGCTTTTTACTGTGTCTCAAACTGTCTCATCTATAAAATGTACATGATAAATACCTCCTTCACAATGTGGTTTTGAAGATGAGACGCATTTTTAAATGGTGTTACATTTTGTTATTGTTTTTGGTTGGCCTTTTGGAACTATGGAATATCCTATTTGGATTCTTCCTAGCTAGATTAAATCTGTTTTCAGTGTATCCAGTGTGTTGATGTTTTCAGTGTATTCTCGGGTTAATAGGTTTATACAGTCACTGATTTAGACTATCAGAAAGCATAGTATCTGATTCATTCATTTCTTTCTTTCTTTCTTTGTTTCTTTCTTTCTTCCTTCCTTCCTTCCTTCCTTCCTTCCTTCTTTCCTTCCTTCCTTTCTTTTCTTTTCTTTTCTTTCTTTTTTTTTTTTTTTAATTAATGCCAGAGTCATGGGCCTGGGTTTCAGATCAAGCTACTCAGAGTTGAGGAGTTATAACGCTTTTTCTCAGTGGAGAGGAAATAAATCTAAAATAAACACATAATACTTAATGGGTATAGTTTAGTAGGAGTTAGAGAATGAATTTAGATTCATACTGCCTTTTTTAAAAATGTCTTTTATATATGTGGAAGACAGACTTATCTTCTGTCTGTTTGTTCATCACTCAGACAGCTGTGGGAGCCAGGAGCTTCTTCTGGGTCTCCCACCCGGACAGTAGGACCCCAGTACTTGGGGCATCTTCTGGTGCTTGCGCTAGGGCATGCTCAGGGAACTGGATCGGAAGTGGGGCGGTTGGGATTTCAACCAGTGCCTACGTGGTGTTGCAGATGGTTGCTTTACACATGATGTCACACCACTGGTCCCTTAAATTCATACTGTCTTGATTCAGACCTGGTTCTAGATTAGTAAGAACTGTGCAGTTCCTCTCTGAACCTTAGTTTTTTCCTTATTTCCCATCCCATAAGCAAAATTATGTTAGTATGGTTAAATATTCCCTAGACTAAGACGGAGTAGATGAGATAATAACATAACAACTATTCAGCAGACCACTTCCACTGAAGTTAGGGTAGCAGCGGAGCCTCCCGCAATCCGCATGACCTTAATACCAAAAATCAAAGAAAACTACAGTGCAGTGATATCCATGGACATTCAAGGCTGCATTTTAGCAAATTGCATCCAGCAGTATGTAAGTCGAATAGCATATTATGACTATTGCAGTCCTTTTGCTTTGTTCCAGCAGAATCCCTGAAACGGGATGGTGAAGAATAGGCACTTTGGAGGCTAGGAGGTCAAAGCGCCTGGGGCCGGCATTTTGCAGGGGCCGTGCTGTGTTTTAACCCGGTGGGAAAGCAGAAGGATGAGGGGACATGAGCAGAAGCAGCACAACAGGAACTACCTCGCTTTAGACAGTGGTTCCTCAGCTACCACAGTGACAGGTGCTTGAACTTCAACATGAGCTGTGGAGGGGACCTGCCATACTCAGATAATGTAGCTACGACCAGATACGGGTAGGAATGTAAGGTTATTCATGGAGAAAAGAAATCATGATGATTGGTTAAACTCATGAACAAAAAAAAACAACCCTAAAAATTGATTTTCTATTGTGTATAAAGAATGTTTTGTTTTCGCATTTACCTGATATTTGTTTGGAGTGTCTCCCATTTGGGGCTAGTGCTAAGATATTTGATATGAATGTTTAGTTACGGTTCTTTTCTATGGATGTGTGCTTTCATTTCTCTGGGTAGACATTTAGAAGTGGAATGGTAGAATCATCAGCAGGTGACTGTTCAACTTAACAAACCATTAGGGGTCAGCACAGTGGCAGAGCAGGCTAAGCCTATGTGGTGCCAACATCCCATATGGACGATGGTTTGAGTCCTCGCTGCTCCACTTCTGATCCAGCTCCCTACTAATAGCCTGGAAATGCAGAGGAGGCTGGCTTAGGTTTTTGACCCCTGCGCCTCTGTGGGGAAACTGGAAGAAGCTCCTGGATCCTGGCTTTGGACCGTCCCAACTCTGGACATTGCAGCCATTTGAAGAATGAACCAACAGAAGGATAATCTGTCTCTGTGTGTCCTTCTCTCTCTGGTACAGTAAGTAAATAACAAAAACAATTTTCCAGCAACAATAAGTTATGGAAATAATACTGTTATTGTTTCCAGTAATAATAAGTAGATCTTAAAAAAATAAATTTTTGTGGGGGGCCCGGTGCAATGGCGCAGTGGTTAAGGTCCTCGCCTTGCACGCCCAGGATCCCATATGGGCGCCGGTTCTATCGTGGCAGCCCCGCTTCCCTTCCAGCTCCCTGCCTGTGGCCCGGGAAAGCAGTCGAGGACGGCCCAAAGCTTTGGGACCCTGCACCCGCGTAGGAGACCCGGAAGAGGCTCCTGGCTTCAAATCGGCATAGTATCGGCCATTGCGCTCACTTGGGGAGTGAATCATCGGACGGAAGATCTTCCTCTCTGTCTCTCCTCTCTGTATATCTGCCTTTCCAATAAAAAATCAAATAAAATAAATCTTTAAAAAAATAATTTTTTTTTGTCTAAAATGTTTTACTTTTTAAAGTAAATTTGTTTGTTAGAAAGGCAGAGTTACACAGAAGAAGAAACAGAAACAGAGAGAGAAGCCTTCTGTCTGCTGG